GCCGCTCTAGCTTGCGCCGGCTTACGCAATGTTTCTTGATATTGCTCAATCACGTTTGATGTCAGAGACGCACATATATGCGCGCGGAATTCGAAATCAGAAAGCTGCCCTGTAGCGCAGAGTTTGCGCACGTCTTCGATACTTTTTGGCAGTCCTACACAGTATGTATCATTCGCAGTTGTTGTTGCTGCTCATTTGACCCCTCGCTCCTTCGACACATGCGTGCAAAACCAGGCACAGCCATGCTCCAGGCGCAAGGTCTTACAAGTGGCGTCGTGTGCCCCAACAATCAACGCTGCAAGCAACGCCAACGTTGCGACTCAAGATGGCTACATCTGAAGCGCGCGACGTCAGGGCCCGGTTCTGTCTTGCTATTCGCCCCACCATGAACAGGTTTGAAGCTTTCCAAGGACAAACTTCACAAGCGGGCCTATCTAGTGCTTCGCCTCGCCCAAGAAAAACACGCGAGGACACTCCTCGCGTGCTCAAGTTGCTACAGCGAAAACAAGCTGGAGGAACAGCGCTGCCGCATTCTGCTGGAACATGTGCGCCCGCTTGGGACTTTGGAATGAGCCTCAAGGCACCATTGTCACAGCTACAAGGGGTTCGGCAAGTCCTGCCCTGAATGCTTTGGGCGCAAAGATAATTGTGTCTAAGGAGTCATCTGCAGATCCATCCCCATCGCCATTCAATCGTGAAGTCACTCAGCTTGCTAACATATTTACTTGCATCGCTCTGGTGTCAGCTTTGTGCGAGTCGCCAAAGCGCAGTCAGCAAAGCGCGTTGCGATCGTATTTCTGAACGTTGGTCCCAGCTGGGATTGGATCAGCCAAGTGCGCAATATACAATGATGTCGGAGCCCTTGGTGGAGGAGGGTGGGGATGGATCTCGTTTTCAAGACGGCTTCCCTGCACATCGCCTTGCTTGAAGCTGTAACCAGTGACCCGGCAGAAAAGAATTGCAATCCCCTAATTGCATTTCACGGACAAGCGCCAAAGGTTCACAGCTTGGACCTAAGCCCTTGACCACTTCTGCGGGAAGCGACTGACACAGACCAGTGCCAGGCTTTCATGTTTTCGGGGGGCATGCTTCGCAGACATCCCGAGACTGATGTCTCCCTCTTCGCGCACAGATCAGCCACAGACCTGCACTTTGCCGCATGCCGTGGAGCGCGCAAGCCCGAGTCGAGGCCTCCAAAACCTGCGGACGGGAAGAAAACGAAGCCCAACTGGCTGAGGGAAGGATTGTCATGTCAAGACGAGGTCTTTGCATAGTCTCTGGTCGACTGCGCGATGAGAAAACGCCTCCGTTTCCGTGCCCGCTATAGCTCTGCACAGCGCGTGAGCACAGGGTTCTGCACTTGGAGCCCCGGCTGGTGTCAATTGCCGGAGCCGGACTAAGGATACCAGGTTACCGTTGGCGAGTGAAGCTCTGTGAGACCGCCTCACCTCTCTGTTGATTTCATCAGACATGTTGCCTTTTTCAGCTTTGGCACAGCACGGTAAACCTTGAGAGCAGCCCTTCTCGACAAATGCTTCCTTGTGAGTCTGGCCCGAACAAGTGCGAATCTATGCAGGTCCCAAGCCAAAGAGGCAAGCCGTGAAGCTTGAACGGCTTGACGAGTCACAGCTAAATCGGACTGGCCCAAACGAAACACAATTTGCCCTCAGGGAAACGACCATGTTCCAATGGCAGTGCAACAGGCATGGCAATGCTGGAGAATGCTTTCGATGATCTCGTCCAAAAATATGGCGGCAGAAGGAAAAGCGCTGGCGCATGCTGAAGCCTCATCCTCGGAAAGTGTTGTCATTAAGCTTTGAAGCCAGAGCCAGCAACTCCCGAAGCATCGGTATTCCATCAAGTCCCGATCGCATGGGCACGCTCCAAAGTCCTTGAAGTGCGCGATGCACGCAGTGTGTTCATCCTTGTCCACGTGACTTTCCTGGCAGCCATCAGCATCTGACTGCACCACTCACATGTGGGTGTCCGCCAACAAAAACAGGTTGACCAGCGCAGTGCTACTTTGGCAACCTGACGAAAAGTGAAGGGACGAAAACGCGTTTTTGCAAGTAGGTCACTCTGTGGGTCCACACGAGCCAAATCACTTTGGATCGCTTCGCATTGCCCTCACTTTGCGACTCTCCGTTGGTGCTAAGCAACAGGCACGAGGCCACTTTGCGAATCGGTCTGCACCAGTGCATCATCATCTGGGCCTCTGGCGCCTAGTCGCAAGTTAGCGGCGCAAGCAACCTCACAAGCAGCTCGCGTGTCAGGCGAAAGTCTTTGCGCTTGGCTTCAGCCAGGCAAATGACCTTTGACGGCTTTGATATCTCAAAACTTGGCATCAAAGAACTACGCCTAAGACTGATGGGAAGGATCTACATTCGGGTAGAGTTTGCAACACCTGCTTACAGTTCTTTCCATCCCCCTTGTTCAGACTGCTTCGCTGGGCGCAGATTGCTATTATTTACAAACCGGAAATGAAGAACTCTTCAAGCAAGCAATCCTCATCCTGGCTGAGCTGTTTTGCGCCCCGAACCTTTGAGCTCGCTCGCTGAGTCGGAGTATCAAGATAGCAGGAGAGCCAGCCAAATCCAATCGGCATGACCACACAAAGGCGTACTCTGCACAGGAAACAAGTCCATGCAGCTAGAGCTGTATGAGCCACAGCCATCTCTTAGCATTGGATCAAGCTTTAGAACCGTGAACCAAGGAAACTCCAACGGATCCTTGAACCTTGCGCCAGCAGTTCCTCTGGAAAGTGGGAAAGTCCCAAGCACTGTGATAGAAGCTGCAATTCTATCTAAATCCGAGAATGCTCAGAATGGTAGCTAATATCCTCACCGACTCTAGGCTCTGCTGATTGTGCAACCTTTCACCGTTTGAATCGCATTGCTGGGTCCAGTCTTCTGGCTAAACTTACTTATGCGGAGTGCTCTACAAAGACACGAAGCTGTCCCTGCTGACACGCACTCCGGCTATCAACCTAGCTTGCGCTGGCTTACGCAATGTTTCTGATATTGCTTAATCACGTTTGATGTCAGAGACGCAAATTTTTGCACACCCAATTCGCTTTCAGAAGGCTGCCCTGTAGCGCAGAGTTTGCGCACGTCCGCGATACTTTTGGCAGTCCTACACAGTATGTATCATTCGCAGTTGTTGTTGCTGCTCATTTGACCCCTCGCTCCTTCGACACATGCGTGCAAAACCAGGCACAGCCATGCTCCAGGCGCAAGGTCTTACAAGTGGCGTCGTGTGCCCCAACAATCAACGCTGCAAGCAACGCCAACGTTGCGACTCAAGATGGCTACATCTGAAGCGCGCGACGTCAGGGCCCGGTTCTGTCTTGCTATTCGCCCCACCATGAACAGGTTTGAAGCTTTCCAAGGACAAACTTCACAAGCGGGCCTATCTGGATATAGTGCTTCGCCTCGCCCAAGAAAAACACGCGAGGACACTCCTCGCGTGCTCAAGTTGCTACAGCGAAAACAAGCTGGAGGAACAGCGCTGCCGCATTCTGCTGGAACATGTGCGCCCGCTTGGGACTTTGGAATGAGCCTCAAGGCACCATTGTCACAGCTACAAGGGGTTCGGCAAGTCCTGCCCTGAATGCTCTGGTCGCAAAGAGCGTTGTCCCAAACAAACCCATCCCAATGACTGCACTGCGAGCCAACACTACAAAGAGCTTTTAAACCATGCAAGGCAAAGTGCTTGAGCACGGTATCCGCGTTGGCGATTAGCATTCCCAGGCAGTTTGCCCACAAGTTGTGCAACGATGCAAGTGTGGGAACTCAGTTGTGGAAGCTGATTTGCGTTGCGCCACTCGCTTGCAGAGTGTAAGGCGAATCTACGCAAGCCGGGCCGGTAGCTTTAAGGCTTTCTAAGGCTTACTAAGGCTCACCAAGGCTTACAAGGCTAACTAAGGCGTACTAGTGCTTGGATTGCGATTGGAAGACCCTTGCTGTTATCAAAATGTTAATCCTAGCACCCTATCAGCCTTGACCCATGTGATCAACTCCATTGTGCGCTCTTCGAAGCTGAGGCCCAGCCGGGTTGGGCGCCCAAGACTGAACTTGGTCGAGGTTCTGGCGAATTGGAGTGAGTCTCAACACATTCTTGGGATCAGCCTTCCCTGTTGCCTTGCAGGCACTGAGTTCCGATGCATTCGAAACCTGTTTTAAATTCACCAACATGAAAATTATACTCTATATTGAAAGCACCGCAGTCAATGCTCAACTCGTATGCGTGTGTATAGCTTCTTCGCCTGCAGTGGGTGTGACAGTGCGGTGTTGCACCTGTCTGAATGTACCCAGGACTGACAAGCTGGAACTGCGTCCGACACTTGCAGCTCTCTGTATCGACGCGCGAGTCCCAGGCAGTCTGCCGACAAGTTGTGCAAGCCGGGCCGGTAGCTTTAAGGCTTTCTAAGGCTTACTGGGGCTCACCAAGGCTTGCTAGCCCTTGGATGCTTTCTAGCACCCTATCAGCCTTGACCCATGCGATCAACTCCATTGTGCGCTCTTTGAAGCTGAGGCTCGGCCGGGTTGGGCGCTCTTGGGATCAGCCATCCATGTTGTCTTGCAATAGGCTCCGCAAGCCCCACTACTTGCAGTTCCGATTTTGCTAACCCTGTCTATCGACGCACGAGCGTCACATGCAACTGTTGGCCCTCTTGCCGCAGGCGGCATCCAAATTTTGCTCTATTCAGGAGCCGCTCCACATAGCCAATGCGCTGGACACCAAATCCATTTTCGCAAGCGAGGTAAGATGTATCTGCGAGGTTCACACACTTACAAAACCTGGCCGGGCAAAGGATAAACAGCCTGCAGTAGCCTTGCTCAGAACATGTAAGTGTTAACCTGGTTTTGATGTGTGAGCATGGTGAACTGCGTGACAATGGCGCAATGAACATCATTTTGGTGAATGGGCCCAGCTGCGGGCTTGCAGATCTCCCAGATCTTCCATGGGTCATTTGCAACCTGCGAATGCATTTTGACTTGCTACAAAAAATGTTCAAGTCCCTTGTGCATGTCAGTGTCCTCAGAAGACCCTGTGATTGAGCAAAGTGCAACTCTACAAACGCAACATGCTGCTGGGCTAAAGCATGAGGCTAGTCGCTTGAAGCGGCCTGCTACTGCACTGCACTCATGGGAGACCGCCTCCCTGCAACGCCTCAGTTTCACCTTTGCAGCTCTCTGCAGCTCGGGCAGACCAAGGCTTGTCCACCAAAGGCAAAGCAAGCAAAGAGCCGACAAAAGAACGCGCTGCCAAGAGCTCCCGGATCCCTCCACAGACTTGCCGATGCATTCCGAGCCCTTGCGTAGGTTAGCTTGCGCCGGGAACAGTGTGGCGATGTGTTCAAGTGGCAAGTGGCATTGCTTGAAGCGCAAACCACCCATTGCCTGCGCTGAAAGGAAAGGCAGTCAAGGCTGTCAAGGCTGTCAAGGCCGGCAATGCTATGTGACAGGACCAGACAAGGCGCATTCAATCCAAGGGAGGAAAATCACACCAAAGGCTCCTGACAGGTTCCACCAGCAACCAAGTGGCCTGGAAAGTGAAGTCCGGACTCACGCGCAAGTGTTGCAGTCTTGACTTCAACCTGCTGCTGTGACTTGGGTTTTGCCGCACAGGCCTTCCAACTCGTGGACTGCCAGGAACAGTTTCCTCGCAGCAGCTCCAGCGATGCCTGGCCATCATATCCTGGTCGCAAAGACAATCTCAGCACCTCCAAGACTCACACGGTTGCGAGGCATGCGCATCAAGCTGCCACACCTCCTTCTCGCAAGAAAACCACCGCCAAAACGAAGGCCGGGAGGCTGTCCAATTTCTTGCATTTTCTGCGACCGCGTCCGCAGTCTGCTAGTCCGTGAAACATGCATCGTGAGCTGCGCAGTATCTTGCCGCACGCCAAACCAAATCTCTCGCTGTGCGCAAGATTGGAAACTCGGAATGCCAAAACTTGCCGCGAACCTGACTTGCACGGAGGGCTGGCAATACCTAAGGACGCTGGTCCGATCAAGACAAAACGGTAGCTATTCCTCGTCCTCCGTGAATTTTGCCAACATCTCTAGACTACGCTGACTGCTGATACTTCACCTGTTGAACTGCAGCCAAAGCTGCCGGCTCCAGTCATCCGGTAAGCTTCTGCATCAAATGTACTTTACTGTCTGGCAGGCCTACCACGCTTTGAGCTTGCTTCATCATGGGGCCATGCCAGAGACCAAACCACTCATGCTCTTTTGGCTCGAAGATCATGATAAACTTCCGGGTGTCAAGACTTGACGGCGCACACCGGCGTAGGTCTCATTGCATGGGTGTTCTTGGGGGAAAGGGCTGTAATCAGTTTGAACGTCAAGAAGCGCAACTTGCGTGTGGCCAGTGTGCGCACACAATCTGAATTTAGAAAGCACGTTGCGCAGACTTTGTGTGCATAGGCGTCGCTTGCGGCAGTCCTGCTACGTATGTGTCATATGTGTCCTCAGCTCTGTTCTTAGACACAGCCATGACAAGGTCTTGCAAGTGGCGTCAGCAACGCCAACATTGCGACTCAAGATTGCTACATCTGTCTTGCTATTTGCCCCACCATGAGGTCCAAAGCGGGCCTGTCTAAATGTAGCGCTTAACCTCGCGTTTGGGCTTCTCTATGGTTTACGGACAACAAACATTAGCTTCATCCGATGACAGGCTGATTTTGCAGATCGTTTTGATTTTTTCTCTACCGCGTTATTGGGTGCGCTCCGGATGCACAGCATGGCGTTGTTGATGAGACCAGCAACTCGGCGCTATTTTGCATTTAGTATTGGCTCTTCAGGCGGCTTTTGACGTGCGGACTGCACAGATCATTTTGACACGCGAGGACACTCCTCGCGTGCTCAAGTTGCTAAAGCGAAAACAAGCTGAAGGAACAGCGCTGCCGCATTCTGCTGGAACAGTGCGCCCTTCTGCATTCACCAACATGAAAAATCTACTCTCTAGCCTGACCGAAATCCTGGGGGCCTAATCGCAATCCGTAATCCGCTTAATCCTTGTGTTGATTGGCAATCTTCTTAATCCGTAATCCGCGCTTCAATGACTTCAAACTTTGGGTCAAAGCCGTATGTTGGAGCATGGAAAATCCGTGCACCCCATAATCTGCAATCCGCAAGACGCATAATCTAATCCGTAAACCGCACAATCCGCAATCCGCTAATCATTGGCGATTAGGCTTTGAACACCGCAGCTGCCACCACTCAACTCGCATGCGTGTGTGCAGCTTCTTCGCCTGCAGTGGGTGTGACACTGCGGTGCTGCACCTGTCTGAATGTAACTGACAAGCTGGAACTGCGTCCGACACTTGCAGCTCTCTGTATCGACGCGCGAGTCCCAGGCAGTCTGCCGACAAGTTGTGCAAGCCGGGCCGGTAGCTTTAAGGCTTTCTAAGGCTTACTGGGGCTCACCAAGGCTTGCTAGCCCTTGGATGCTTTCTAGCACCCTATCAGCCTTGACCCATGCGATCAACTCCATTGTGCGCTCTTTGAAGCTGAGGCTCGGCCGGGTTGGGCGCTCTTGGGATCAGCCATCCATGTTGTCTTGCAATAGGCTCCGCAAGCCCCACTACTTGCAGTTCCGATTTTGCTAACCCTGTCTATCGACGCACGAGCGTCACATGCAACTGTTGGCCCTCTTGCCGCAGGCGGCATCCAAATTTTGCTCTATTCAGGAGCCGCTCCACATAGCCAATGCGCTGGACACCAAATCCATTTTCGCAAGCGAGGTAAGATGTATCTGCGAGGTTCACACACTTACAAAACCTGGCCGGGCAAAGGATAAACAGCCTGCAGTAGCCTTGCTCAGAACATGTAAGTGTTAACCTGGTTTTGCGTGACAATGGCGCAATGAACATCATTTTGGTGAATGGGCCCAGCTGCGGGCTTGCAGATCTCCCAGATCTTCCATGGGTCATTTGCAACCTGCGAATGCATTTTGACTTGCTACAAAAAATGTTCAAGTCCCTTGTGCATGTCAGTGTCCTCAGAAGACCCTGTGATTGAGCAAAGTGCAACTCTACAAACGCAACATGCTGCTGGGCTAAAGCATGAGGCTAGTCGCTTGAAGCGGCCTGCTACTGCACTGCACTCATGGGAGACCGCCTCCCTGCAACGCCTCAGTTTCACCTTTGCAGCTCTCTGCAGCTCGGGCAGACCAAGGCTTGTCCACCAAAGGCAAAGCAAGCAAAGAGCCGACAAAAGAACGCGCTGCCAAGAGCTCCCGGATCCCTCCACAGACTTGCCGATGCATTCCGAGCCCTTGCGTAGGTTAGCTTGCGCCGGGAACAGTGTGGCGATGTGTTCAAGTGGCAAGTGGCATTGCTTGAAGCGCAAACCACCCATTGCCTGCGCTGAAAGGAAAGGCAGTCAGGGCTGTCAAGGCTGTCAAGGCCGGCAATGCTATGTGACAGGACCAGACAAGGCGCATTCAATCCAAGGGAGGAAAATCACACCAAAGGCTCCTGACAGGTTCCACCAGCAACCAAGTGGCCTGGAAAGTGAAGTCCGGACTCACGCGCAAGTGTTGCAGTCTTGACTTTAACCTGCTGCTGTGACTTGGGTTTTGTCGCACAGGCATTCCAACTCGTGGACTGCCAGGAACAGTTTCCTCGCAGCAGCTCCAGCGAAGCCTGGCCATCATATCCTGGTCGCAAAGACAATCTCAGCACCTCCAAGACTCACACGGTTGCGAGGCATGCGCATCAAGCTGCCACACCTCCTTCCCGCAAGAAAACCACCGCCAAAACGAAGGCCGGGAGGCTGTCCAGCTTCTTGCATTTGCTGCGACCGCGTCCGCAGTCTGCTAGTCCGTGAAACATGCATCGTGAGCTGCGCAGTATCTTGCCGCACGCCAAACCAAATCTCTCGCTGTGCGCAAGATTGGAAACTCGAAATGCCAAAAAATTCCGCGAACCTGACTTGCACGGCGTGCTGGCAATACCTAAGGACGCTGGTCCGATCAAGACAACACGGTAGCTATTCCTTGTCCTCCGTGAATATTGCCAACATCTCTAGACTATGCTGACTGCTGATAGGCAACGTGGGCATTCAGGGAGGCGATGGATCATTGCAACTGCACCTGTTGAACTGCAACCAAAGCTGCCGGTTCCAGTCACTTTACTGTGTGGCAGGCCTGCCACGCTCTGAGCTTGTTTCATGATGGGGCGATGCCAAAGACCAAAACACTCATGCTCTTTTGACTCGAAGATCATGATAAGCTTCCGGGTGTCAAGACTTGACGGCGCACACCGGCGTAGGTCTCATTGCATGGGTGTTCTTGGGGGAAAGGGCTGTAATCAGTTTGAACGTCACAAAGCGCAACTTGCGTGTGGCCAGTGTGCGCACACAATCTGAATTTAGAAAGCACGTTGCGCAGACTTTGTGCGCATAGGCGCCGCTTGCGGCAGTCCTGCTACGTGTGTGTCATATGTGTCATCAGCTCTGTTCCTAAGCACCCGTGCTCCAACCCATCACGACCCGTCAGCCGGTTTCGTGTTGGTCTGGGAACGCCACTTGCAGGTCTATGTTCAAGTCACAAAGACAAGTCTGCCGCGCTCGGATTCCGAGCTTTGATTCCACCAGAAATGTGATTAACTTGGGTTGTGGCACCAAGCAGCGACGGAGGGTGTGGCAGCCATGGCAGATATTCGGACTAACTGCTCCCTTCCGCCCCGCAGTGTTTCTGAGCCAACCCGGTCATGTGCTCACAAAATTTTGGAAGCGTCTTGCCCATGCACATGTGTGTACTTCTTGTGTTGACGTCCAAGCACAGTTTCTATCAATCATTCAAACGCAGCCGATGCAAATCGCGAATACACGATCCTCATACTTTCGCTAATGCCCGTCTAAGAGCTCAGGAGTTCGCAAACCCGGCGCCAAATGAGCAGCAAGAAGGTGTTCAATCAGACGAACCTTCCACCACACTCCCGAAAAGAACGCCACATCACCATTCCCGTGCTTGGTTTGGAGGCTAGGGGGGACCTTTCCATTCGGTTTCAATGGACCAGGGCCAGGGTTTCAAATCGCAAACCGCCAATCCAAATCACCAACAAGAACCAAAAGTAAGGTCACGACAAGTTTCCGTGCGTGAAACGTAGTAGCCAACAGTTTCCGCGTGGATGTGTGCTGTCAATAACTTGATTCTTTTGCAATGCTCATAGATGGCTTCCAAATAAGGCCAACATGGGCGAAACCAACGCATTGTGCAAATCATCCAATCGAACATGAACTGAGTCTTTACGCCGTTTCTTGCCTCCCTTGACAGCCAAGAAGGCCACCAGGGCCTCACTTGCAAACTTTCAGCTATGTCCACTGTTGAGAATAGTGTGAACTTGCTTCCATCATGTTCATGTTGTTCTTGATGTTGCTGCTAGCCTTGATGAAGCTCCTAAGATTCTTCGTGCACCCCCCAATCGCCTGGTGCAATATATTCACCACGCTCGACATGGAGTTACGCGCGGCCAAGCGGGTCAACAGGGCGAGGTCAGAATGACCGCATAACTACTTGCTAGTGCCTCTTTTTTGCGCGGGACCAGTTTGCGATACGCTGCCGGGAAATCAAATAGGAAAAAATCGAAACCCCTGAAACAAGAAAACCCGAGAAATGGAGAGAAACCAAAAACACGGAACCTCTTCTCGGCAAGGGCGAGCCCGCACGGCTTACCCGTTTACCCCAGCGATTCCCCATCATCTGAGGCTCATGAGCAGCAGCGCTTATCACAGTACTGCTCCACCCCGCCTAGCAGGTCACACTGAGACCTACACGAAGCCACGCCGCAAAAGGAAACCCAAGCAACGGGCAGCGACCATCGTCAGCACAACTCAAAAGTACACACTGCAAAAACAGAAGCCACGCAGGAACTGGAAGCAGCAGCAATGGCAACGCAGGCAAAGATTCGAGCAGGTTTAAAACACAAGGGACACCAAAAAAACCGAAGAGCTAAACACCTGTCCACTGCTTCCAGCATAAACAAACATGCAAGGAAAGAAGCCGAGAAACGCATTCACGCTCGCAGCTTGTTTGTCCTGGCGTTGCTCAGAGGTGCAGGCTCTGGGATGCAGATAAGCCAACATGCGTGTTCGGACTCACGCGTGCTGCATCCCGTGCGGAGCCTGAGGATATTCCCCGTAGCCAACATGCGTGCGTTTTCGGCCACTGTAAGTTTGCTACTTACACGGGCTGTGAAGCTCGCGACTATAAGGCAGTGTCACAACCGGAAGGGTGTGTCTGAGTGCTGGTCACTAGAGGCTCGACCTCGGTGACGCAGGGCGGGTTGGTGGGCTGTTCCTCTCACTTAGCGGAGCTTAAGAGGGGGTCATTTTTTGGCATGGCCCCAAAGACACATGCCAGGTCCACGGAAAACTTATGAAAACAAAAGCCGGTAAACAGTCTTAGACTGAAAGCATTGAATCAGCACAAGCCTATAACTTACCTCCTGGTCCTGGACACACGCCTTCTTGCCGGGACCCGGCGCCCTGCTTGCCGGGGCCCGGCGCCCTGGAAGAACTTGCTTGCCGGGACCCGGCGCCTGGCTTGCCAGGGCCCGCCTAGGACTCGGCGCCCTGGAAGAACTTGCTTGCCGGGACCCGGCGCAACATTCTCCAAGAGCACCAGAGCCGGCCGAGCAACATCGAGAGAACTCAGCCCTTGTGCAAGTCCAGCGCTGCTCCAAGGTTGGCATGGTAAGCTCGCTACCAAGACTCTGTCTTGATGTTGGTGCTGCAGGCCCAGAGCGGCATGGTTTTTGAAAACTGGCACAGTGTGAGGACACGTCATCAAAGTACCAAGAGTGGTCCCGTGGATTGCGCCAGAGTCACAAGTCGGCGCCCTGAAGAACTTGGTTGCCGAGACCCGGCGCCTAAGCCCAGCTTGCCGAAACCCGGCAAGCTGGAAGATCGGCGCTGTGGGCGCAGGGACCCACTTAAAGTACTTGGCCTTGCAAATGGTTGTTTGTTTGGTTTGTCATTTTTTGACCTTCAAAGTGTTGAATGGGACCCAGTTGTTTTTGAGTAGGTTCGCTGTCCAGAATCAATCAAGACATTGTAAGTTAGAGCAGGTCGTCGTCATCCTCCTCATCATCAGACGCGCTCTCCGAGTTCATTTTCCACGAAGCCCCCTTGGCGCAACTTAGGATTTGTGCATTTGTTCTATTTAGTTTCTCCGCATGTTTTTTGGCTTGCTCGGTTGATTGAATACACACCAGTGACGCGCTCAGGTTGGCAGAACGGGTTTCCTGGCAAGCCGGCCGCAGTTTGTTGCGCTAACCTTCCAGTCCCGTCACCCGAGAGCGACCTTGACATAGTCATTAGGGACAATGACAATGACTCTGGCATAATGGCCAACGACACAGACGGGGACAGCGAAGTTATGACTGTCAGCACGATCGATTTCGGGGACATACGCTCACCCCTTTCGGACATTGAAGGCACCAACAATAGCAGCAACGACGACGAAGACAGTTCCATGACAGAGATTGTGAAGAGCGAGGGGTCCTGGATCATTTTTCACCAACGACGACAACTACACTGCCAAGAAGATGTGTCAAGCGATGACGGTGGCTCTGACTCAGACATCTGATCTGGGCTTGCGGTGAGTTTAGTCTTGAAATCTGAAAGCCCATCCAAATTAATAATTTTCTACATTTGTGTGTGTGTGACAGGGTGCCTGTAGCATTGTGTTAAACTTGGTTTGCCGGTCGTGGCGCCACGTAACTATAAGGTTCTGCTGGCACGAGTGGTCAAACTCCTGGTTGGCTCACAACGGCATTGAGGAGCTTCACTTGCAGCTTGCGTGTGTGTTTAGCTGTCCACCGTAAAACCTTGCCAAGCTTTCCACTCTGCGGCAAACATGTTTGTTTCTTGCAGCCTTTATTGACCAAATTCTCGCAGGACTGGAGCGGGCGTGACGACGACAGGG